ATTCAAAGGAAATTTATGTTGTACGAAAACTAACGTTGCTATCAAGTTTGATGTTCTATATACGCCTTAGTGGACAGGTAATAGCGGATTCATATATATACTTCAACGCGTGAAAAGGTCAAATAAAATAAAACCGCAGCTACATTAGAATATCAGTAGATTTTGCATTTAAAAAGCGTGTATACTTACGTTTTATTTACACCAAGGTGTGCCCCCATTTCCTGATGGACGCTCTTCAGGCCCGATTCTCGAAACAAACTTAAGTCTGAGTTTTGACTTAAGTTAGAGTTTTTACTCAAATTTGAGAAAATGTATTTCCCAGAATGAACTGAAATCGATATAAAACTCAAACATAGTAGAGAATTTGAGTTTGGTGGATAGATTACTTAAGTTGTTTGGGGGTTTTATTTTAAAAATGCAGTTGAGTTAAAAATTCAGCTGTTTCAAATTGTCAAACTCAGTTTGAAATTTGAGTTAAAACTTAAGTTTGTTTCGAGAAATCGGGACACTGGCACATCTGCCTTGTGAGGGACTCTTAGCGGTCCGGATTTGGATTTGAAAACAGGTTGTCGTTATCCAGATTGAATTTTTCACATTTTCGCCGAAAGTTTGAAAGTTTGATTTTTAGACGCCCACTTTGGGTAGTTCCTACTGCTTTTGAAATCTTAGATATCCTTGACTTCTTGTTCTTCCACGTTGATTAAAAGTGTTGAAATGCAATGACTTTATCAGTGTTATATTCTTTGAAATGTGTAACATTTTTATACGGACGTGCATCGGCACGATATCAAAGATTTGGATGTTCCCGTCTGGATCTGCGGCGTCTATCAAAGACAGGCACAGTCGTCCAACAAATGATTTATTTCGGTCTCACCGTATGTACAGCATTTTAAACAAAACATTTTGATAAAACCATAAATATGTGTACACAAGCCATTCCACACGGAATTGCGAGAGACCATATTAAAACACAAACACGAATCTATAATTAAGTTATATTGCTAGAAATATACATAAATAAGTACATGGGTAAAAAGCTAATCAACGGTGTTTCAATTGGCTACGTACGTTTACAGCGTTAGAAACAGCGAGGGTCATTATTCAACGAGGGTATCTTTTCAATACGTGACCCCGGTTGTTTTTCAATAGCAGCCGGGCGTTGAAAAGTAATTATTCAATGTTGAAAAAGACCCCGCCGGCGTTGAAAAGTGAGTCCGGGTAATAATTCAATGTTGAAAAAGTACCCGCCGGGTACCATCGTTTCAACGCGGGTATGTTTTCAATCGGTACACCGGCATCTGCAGCGTGATTAGACTCGCGTTATTGATGTCCGGGGTCCAGCCAACTTCTGATCGCCGGTGGCGATGACGATTTCGTTGTTGTAGCCCACAACTCTGTTCACCCTCAGTTGCATGTCGCTCGGAGCTATGTACAGTCCCAGGCCAAACACATAGTCAACTTTCGACCGGGCATATTCCAGCACGTTTTGATAGCGTTCAATGGCACTCGGCAGATCGACCGTAGACGCGATGGCATCCTCGACGTTCGACACGAACTGTTTCTGCGCGTTGTAAGCCGTCCCTTTGCCCAGGATGACGGAACGTGTTTGAGTCTGCGCACCGAGGACGGTCCACACATACATTCGAATAGAATCGTTTAACCGTATGGCACGAGAAAACCCTTTCGAAGTGTCCAGCATAAACATTTTCTAATCGTCCACGGGTCCCTGTTTAAACCTCCAAATCCTTGCTGTCGTTGAAAGTCATGTAATCGTCGTTCCACTCGTTCGTCGTTAAGTAATGATAGACTTGTAACCCCAATCTTTCACCAACTGTTTGCTGGCTTCGACGAGAGGCATATTGTGAACGATGGGAATACCCAACCCGTGGTTCAGACCCGGCAAACGCCAATCGACCGTCTTCAGATTGAGTTCGAATTCGCTGCAATCCTTTCGTAAGCCCATCGATTGTACGGATTGTTCGTCACGTTCCGTGCCTTGTCCTGCGGAATCGGGGCACTGATTTCTTTTAAGATGCGCCTGATTTGGTAGTACACGTGAAACGAGAACACGGACCTACTCAGCTCAAGTTTCCGCCCCTAGCCTGACTCATCACTAAACAATCTATCTCATTTCTTTTATCCATTTCCCCACATGGGTACGTGTGAAGCCCATTTCTGGTGTCCCCTGCCGTGATATTGCTGGAATATAAAACCAAACTCACTCACACACTCACTCTTTTGTCAGTCTATATCTTACTCCTTCCAAAACTTTATAACTGACTTGCAATCAATCATTGTGTTACTTTACTTAAAGGTCACATGCAACGTAAAACACAACTTTGCAGATTCTGATACCTTTCGGTATGGACTTACCGAAACAAATCGTCAAAAATGCAAGTTCAACTTAAAAAGTTAAAAATAACGCGATGAAAAAAACCGCGCGAAATCAGAGTTCAAACGTTTCACTAATTTTCCCCCGACTTTTCGTGGGAAAACTGGTTTCAGCAGCTGGGCTGCGCTCATAGCACGTGCGCAGCGAAATAGGTTCGCGCAGCTTGGAAGCGGGTTGTCCGGTGAATACTCGGTGAAGGATTTGGTGTGAGCTATTTTTCTAATGTTTTGTTGATATCTCACAGGCGCGAGCTCTTTATATGTTATGACAGTAAATTAACTGTTTATATGATTTCATTTGTCTATTTCACCACACGTTCTTCTTACCGAGTCACTTTCTCAGTTCGATACTTAAAAGCAATGTAATTATTTAGCGTTGACAGAATTTCTAACTGTGATATAGATATGTCGTTGTCACAGACAAAACTCAATGTCTTGTTTAATTGACACCTGTGTGTCTGTCTGCCTGTACAATATTCAATACACAACTTCGATCACTGACCACATGCAATTTGAACTTAACACCAATCAGGCTATACACCATAAACAAAATGCATTGATTTATGGCCCGAGTTCGGTCTCTGTCACATTATGTCATTACACAGACAGGCAGGTGTGATACTTGAACACATGACATGTTATGATGTCTGTTGATTGCAAAATGATATACACAAAAATGAGCATGTATTTACAAAACCCAACATCTCTATATATACACACACAATGAGCCGTGAGAGCATCTGCAAATGAACCAGCCGTTACACTTGAGTGCACACCCACCCGCTCTGACTGGGTTCGGTATCCCGGCTACTTCGTTTCTTGGGAAGTTAACCCAAGTACACAATATTGCACTTTTGATTTGCGATTGTACGCTTATAATTTTGTTTATATGTTTTTTCATAACCAGCAATGTATATTATATGTCATGAATAAGTGAAAATTGTGTTTTAATTATGTTTGATTGTTTGGTTGCAATTTGACCGTTAATGATGTCTGCTTAATCCTGCATATTTCAATATGTTCATCTGTACATCAGGCAGGCTTTACACTTCAGTCTCAGCTGTTGAGTAAACGTCACGCTGTCATTGTAAACCTTGTATAATCACCAAATGGCATTCCTACTTCACATTTCTGTTTATAACTTGCTGTTTAAAGCTATCAATATATATATATATGTTTTTTGGCCCGAAACACCGCGCGAAATCAGAGTTCAAACGTTTCACTAATTTTCCCCCAACTTTTTGGGCTGCGCTCATAGCACGTGCGCAGTGAAATAGGTTCGCGCAGCTTGGAAGCGCACGTCTTATATATACAGAAACGTGGCATTCATTGTGATATGGAAGTTGTACATCCATACATCTATCTTACTTACACCTCAAACTGACGTTTTAATGCCACTTTAAAAAGTGGCGAAAACCAGTTGGACTTCATCAGAGTACGCCAGGTATACTGTGGCACTGAATTACGTCTCACAAATATAACTGCATGCTAAAATGATGTATGGGAGAGCGGGACTCATTGAGACACACCACGTGTTGGCATATGGAATCTGGGAACCGGGAACAGATCCAGTTGGTTCCATTGGCTGATGTGATGGTATGGTGGCCCACTATGTCGTTAAAGAGGTTGGAAAACAAGTTCAAAATTTCCATTTGGCAGCCAACGTCACACATATCGGGTAAAATCACTTCTGCTGGCTATACCTTCGAGAATTCTTCAGGCCTTGCTTCTAATGAGTCGACTATTGTCATTTTGATTAATGTTATTCCATTCATCAGTAAGAACACCTCCGAGTTCAGAGAGATATGCTTGAATTGTGACGTCTGCTAAATAACGTCAAAGACGTGTTCCATGAGGGAAAGGTCAAGACTAAGTGCTTATCATGGCATGTCATGGGTGTTTTGCTGTCGAGGCTCTTCATGGCGGAATTGAACTGTCCACCTTTTTCACTTATTTCACTGTCCTTCGAATGGCCTGAAAAAGTGAAACAGAAAGCTTTATGTTTGCTGCTCACACCCAGTCACTTCCTGTTTGAAACGGTCAAGAGGCAGTCAAAGATTCTGCATCATGAGGTAAATGTTACAAAAGCAAAACGAATTCAATGAGACTACCCACCACCTTGTTACTGGATGCCCAGTGTTGGTTCAAGCATAAGAGTGAGTGAGTGAGCGAATATTTATCGTTATATCGGCAATATTTCAACCATATCGTCAGCCATTAATTATCATTTTAAAGATCAATGAAATTAAAACCTGTTAACGATGAACAGTTAAACTACTAGTGTATCACAGTAAGCAGGGGCGGATACAGCTTTTTTAGAAAGGGGGGTGCACACTATTGAGAAAAGGAGGGGTGCACACTTCATTTTCACCCGACTTTCAATGGTCATTTAACAAACTTTCAGCACAAAAGGGGGTGAAGGTGCGCGCACCCCTGCAACCACCACCCCCATCCCCACCTCCCACCCCCTCTCCCTCTGGATCCGCCTATGGTGAGAGATATAAAAGTAGCATGTAACTTAAAACGTATACTATAATGCAAGACAATACAATATACATAACGTCCTATAGATCACCAGCAACTGAAGGTAGATCACCATACCAGAGAACATGGAGACTTCTAGTCCTTTTGCTATCAGCATGGACCCTAGTCGGACTTACACCATCCCTTCAGCCGCTGGTGAGTGTAGTTAAATTTAGCCATAATTCAAAATCACAAAGATACTACGTTTAAAATATTTGGTAAGCTTAATTTACTTTGAATGTTTTGGGACTTACGTACCCCTAACAGGTGGACAATAAGTTTACAATACTTCAAGCCCCTGTGAGGATACAGCCACTAACAATCTCAGCTGCCCAATTAAACTACCAATTATAAAATATTTATTTACAAATAATTTGTCAAAATGATAATTAAGATCCTTCACTGTTTTAACATTGAAATATTTATCCCGTGTGATGGAAAACTCAATGCAGTCAAGCAGGACATGCTTGATCGTGATTCTTTCACCACAAGGGATGCAAATCAGAGGATGTTCACCTTTCAATAATACTCATGTGTATATCTTGTATGACCAATGCGACATAATGACCTCTTCAAATCTGGAATGACAACCCAAGTAGGTATAACCAATGGGTAACATCCCTCGGGTTGCGCCCCCTTGCCCGCTTGGCGCGCTGCGGTCCAACAGTAGCCGACACTCTGATACTGGAATATAGGCCTCTCGGCCAAGCCTAAACTTAAATCGACATTAAACCTACTTTTCTTTCTCTGTAATTCTTATATTACGAATTACGGAAGCTGTAAGCCCTGACTGTTGAAGACTATGCTCAAAGCACAAAGAACTGGTGTGTCTGGACGAAATATAGTGTAAAAGAACGGTAATCATAATATTGCCGTCTCTCGGAATTTCTTAATGTTTAAACCAATTACTTTCTATTAAGGGTACGTAAGTCCCAATACATTCAAGGTAAATTTAAACTTTCCATTTTTTTAATCGTAGAATATGTGTAATTTTAATGTATGGCTAGATGTATCTTAATTGCTGACAGCTGAAGGTATGATGTAAATCCAGCTAGGGCCCATGCAGGAAGCAAATGTACTGTAAGTCCCCATGGTCCCTAGTATAGGGATCTACCTTCAGTTGTTGGCAATCTATAGCCGGTTTTTATAGTGTATTGTCATTTATAGGTAAAACATTTTAGATTTAATTATTTGTCTTAAATTTATTCCTGTGACAATCTAGTTGTTTTACTGTCCTTCGTCGAATATGTGTAATTTTAATGTATGGCTAGATGTATCTAAATTGCTGAAGTAAAAGTTGATAGAACATAGGTTTAGTGTACACTGTAATCCGCGTACAACAAACACGTTAGCATAGACCTGATTACGCAGAAAAACATAAGTGCATCAGTTTTCGTTCACGTAAACAACCTCTCTTCATAGGGAAAGAGGAAATGCTATGACCAAGGATAATTTTCGAAAGCATGTGAAACATAAATCATTTTTATCGAATTAACGACTCGTTGACAGTGCTCAACAAAATATTACAGCCGTTTACACGGTAAATAGGAATAACCCCCCGGTTTATAGTTTCTACACATTGAGGCCATTATTCAATCACACCAAGTCCTCTGAAACTATTATGTATTCTAATTATATGAAAAGTGATTATCTCGGAATCAGTGTTAGGACAGCATCATATTTTACTCTTTGTCCTTCTCCAGTAATATATGACCAATCCCCAAAATGTACAGTAAATTCTAATATTGCATACATACTTTATGTCTAAGAACGCACATAGTTTAACGACCTCACGTTAATCTTTAACTTAAATAAAGGCTGCCCCTTCTCAAAGCAAATAACCTGTACCTAAATGGATAAATCAAATTTTGAAAACACAAGCACATTATTTGGAATTGTGAGTGAGTGAGTTAAGATTTAGAGTCACATGGGCAATATTGCAGCCATATCGTGACTATGATAATACAGACGTTAATAATAAATAAAGTTATTTCGTAAAATCTGTCAACAAAGGACAGTAAAACAACTAGGTTATCACAGATATAAATATAAAACTAGCATGTAAGCATTAAAACAGTTATTACAATACAGGACAATACAATATGAAAACAGGGACATAGGTCACCAACAACTGAAGGTAGGTCACCAAACTAGGGACATTTGGAATTGTGATTCAGATGTTGTCAGGTTATGTAACTAAGCATAAGGTAGATACTGAAATATGAATAAAAACAAATTAAAAGATTCCTGGAGGTTTGAACCATCTAAAAACAGAAACAAGAGGGTATCAGGTTCATTGTCCTTTAAAGTGAGAGCCTTTTAGGTTTGAATAAATTCGTTCACGTTTGTTATTCCAGCCTGTTCGAATGGTTTACAAACTTACGTCAAGGTTCATCCGGTGGTGGTGTGTGTTCTCGCCCATAGAGCTCAGGTCACAAATCAGGTGAAGTTAAGCTACGTTTGTCACGGAGAGTGGAGTTCAGCGCTATATGAGTGGCCAATTTTTATTATTATCATATCACAAGTATAATGGGCTCATACTGTATAGTGTCAGTGAACAAAGTGTGCATTTTTTAATTTTGAAACATTCAGTAATTTAGCTTTTGCATTGTAGTCGAAATGGTACAATTGAGAATTTGCAATACCTTTGGATTATTCTTATGTGTCCATAATCATTAGCCCAAAAATCAACAGAATCTGGATTGTCATATTATCATATTATATTCTGCATGTATAGATATTCATAAATATAGACATAAATAGAGTAAAAAAAGATTTCCTTTTAAGGAACTTGATTACACCAGATGCATGTTGATGTTTTTCACACCGTTAGTTATACTGTCAGTATTATTGTACAGACAATTTATGTTACAGGCACATGCACCCAAAAGGGAAGTACAAAATTAAATCCTCCAGTAATTTACCTTTGGTGTTTGTATTAGTGCCACCTCAGAGTGTGTTGTGGCCATTTAAATCTCCCATGATTAAACAGGGTTTAGGTAGTTGATCATAAAGAGCTTTTAGGTCACTAAGTTGAGCAGCTGACGAAGGCGGAATGTACAAAGAGCACAAAGTGAAAGCAACCTGTAATATAAGTGGAACTGCAACGGCTTGGAGATTTGTTTTAAGTGGAACTGGGCTATAAATAATATTGTTCCTCGTCAGAATTGATGATCCACCAGAATTTGTTTTTTTATATAATGCACACATTGACAAATTTAAATTTACGAGGTTAGTTTCAGCGACTGGAAACTACCGGAAATCAACAAAGTTAGTTCCAGAAATGGAAATTTACAGTAAAGTATCATTGGTAGTTTCCATTGCATAAAGCAGCTGGAAACCATCATTGATGGGAACGTGAATGAAACAAACGTAGAGGAATTACTCCATATATACCAGTATATACAGTATAAATTTAGAAACCTACATTAACCTACGCTAAACTGTCTATGTATTCCATGTATATAAGTTTCAGTTTAGTCATCTCAGGGGGTTATAGCTAAAACGGCACCACAGCAGAACGACACCAAAATCGTTTGGCGAAAACGGCACCGTATTGGCGAAAACGGCTATTGATTTCTGAGCTAAAACGGCACCATATACAAAGCACAGTATGATGTTGACTTTTATGTTTTAGTTCGTTTAATTATAACATTAGCAATCAACATATATAATAAAACATAGTATGACGTTGACTTCATTTCATAACATTAGCAAGATTATAACACGTGATATAGCTGGAATATTGCTAAAAGCGGCGTAAAATCATAACTCACTCACTCATTGCATTAAAATAACAGGACTATAAAGACGATAACAAAAGCACCGTCAACATAACACATAACACATGTTCACACGTCAAAGTCCATATTTGGCAATGGCGGTGTTTCCCCTCTTCAAATGAAGCCCCGAACTGAATAACAGATGCAGGACACGTGGTCGTCTTGTTCCTGACACTGCAGCGCCAGTACGTTCGAGCAGTTTGGGCGATTTGAGTTGAGTAAATGTACTTAAAACATCAAAGGTTGTGATGTTTTCACGCTAAATTGGCATGCTTTTCCAATCACTGTCGGCACAGTAGATGTTTTGACTATCGAAACATTCTACAAGCCGTTTATCGGCTATGGGATTCACTTTCCAATCACTGTCGGCAGAGTAGACGCATTCCAAAATTCTGTATTCAGATTATCTAATGACAAATAAGATTTTCCCAATAATTAAGATTTTATTTGGTGCCGTTTTCGCCATAAGATTTGTAGCCGTTTTCGCCAAGTCAAGACCGTTATGTCCAAATGGTGCCGTTTTCGCCAGGTGACGTTTTGCTGTGGTGACTTTTTAGCCTGTGTTTCTGTACACCAGAATTCAAATAAAAGATACTGTCACATGAAAGATTAATTTCAGGAGCAGTTAAACCTAATTATGGAAACTTAAGATTCTACTTTGTCTCCTTTACGTTTTGTTAGGTACACTCACAGATGCCTTAACCTTATAAATTATTGAAGAACACGGGGTAAGGCTCCATTAGGTTTCGGTTACCCATTGGCTTTCCGTTTGTAATTTTTCTCAAAGTGATACATACTAATACAACTAACTGGGAGTGGTTATGCACATTACACATAACTGTACTAAAAAGGACAATAGTTTCGTAAATGTTCAATAAGGAACATAATACAGGCCACAACAAATTATACAGTAGACTTATAGACATAAAATATATTTAAGTTTAACTCCATCTGCCAGTGGTGAAATATGTTAGGATTGAAAGAAAATGAAGTCAAATAACGTTTGTTTTGCCTTTTAATTATAGCATTATCATTATTGATCCATTATCATATTTTAAGCACTTTGGAACCCCATAAATTTATAAAATGGCTTTCTAGATATGTCAGAGTACCTAAAATGTAAGGGAATCATATTTCACACACATTTGCCCTAAGTGTGACTTAGTACATGTTGTTTGTGGAATGATTTTGTTGAATGCCACAAGAAAAATGAAAACAAAATACAGATATCAAACTTAAAACCAACTAACGGTATAACAAAATTAATGGGCTATTACCTTGTTCGAGAAAAGTATCCATCAGTACCCACATAATGGAACGATATGCCATTCATCGGCAGCTGCCCAAAAAACTGTTCCATGTCACGTGACCGGG